ATGTGAACAGCTAAGATCCATACTTCAGCGCTATGAAGAAGAATCTGGACAACAGGTCAACCTAAACAAGTCCGAGCTGTCTTTTAGTCCCAATGTCCGACAAGGGTTGAGGAGGGAACTAGCTGGGAAACTGAATATGAGAGTGGTGGATCATCACCAAAAATACTTGGGACTGCCCACCAACATAGGCAGGTCAAAAAAACAGGCATTTGGCTATCTGGTGGATAAAGTCAGAGCTAAAGTGAAAACATGGAAAGAGAGACTCCTTTCAGTGGCAGGGAAGGAAGTTTTGATCAAATCAGTGGCTCAATCCCAACTGACATATGCTATGTCAGTTTTCAAGATTCCAACCAACATTCTAAAGGAAACAAAACGAGCCATTGCTCAATTTTGGTGGGGGCAGCAGCAGGAAGAAGGCAGAACTCACTGGTTAAGCTGGAAAGAATTGTGCAAATCAAAGAAACAAGGGGGTATGGGATTCAAGGACCTACAAAGTTTTAACCTTGCTCTTCTGGGCAAACAACTATGGAGATTAGTCCAATTTCCTAACTCTCTAGTGGCACGAGTAATGAGGGCTAAATACTTCGAGAGAGGTGACCCTCTGGAGGCTGATGTAGGAAGGAATCCTAGTTGGATATGGAGAGGCTTAATGGCCTCAAAGACCCTAGTGCAGAAAGGAGCGAGGTGGAGAGTAGGTGATGGAACAAAAATTGACATATGGCTGGATAAGTGGCTACCTTCAAGTGAGAATTTCAAAGTGACCTCCCCTACAGTCAATTGGGGTACGTCAACTTCAGTAGCAGAACTGATTGATCCTGAATCTAGAAGCTGGCGGACAGATTTCATTCACACTCATTTTAACTCCCTGGACTGCTTAAACATTCTTAAAACCCCCATCTCAAGACAACCAATTGAGGACAGAAGGATTTGGGGATATGAAAGAACAGGGGAGTACACTGTGAAATCGGCATACAAGCTATGGGAAGGAAGAAATGCTAATGAGGAGGGAGAACCCTATATACCAGTCAATTGGAAGAAGGTTTGGAGCCTACAGATCCCCCCTAAAGTCAAGGTGTTCGCGTGGAGATGGTTAAGGAACATTCTACCAACAAGATCTCGAATACTAAGACGAACCCAGCAAGGCAGTGATGATTGCCCTTTCTGTGGTTTAGAAGAGACCCAAGAACATGTCCTTCGGGACTGTGCATGGGCTCGCAGGGTGTGGAGATATAGTACAATGAATCAATTAGTGAGTCGGGGGGAGAATCTTACCTCTGAAGAGTGGTTTTGCGAGTTGCAGGAGACAGAGACTGAAGATCAACTGGGATCCTTCATGGTGGCACTCTGGTTCATCTGGGACCAGCGAAACTGCCATTTATGGAACAAGAAGAAATTAGAAGAGTGAGAGATCCTACCAAGAGCGAGGGAGTGGCTAAAAGATTACCTGGAGAAGCAACTGAGATCCCAGGCGGAGCCGAAGGAAGAGGACCAGCGGTGGAAACCCCCGGCGGCGGGGATGGTGAAGATTAATGTGGATGCGGCTTGTTTTGAGGGGCAGGGAACGGGATGGGGAGCGGTGGCTAGGGATCAGAACGGCCATTTCCTGTTTGGGGCAGTGAAGCGATCTCGGATTCAGTGGAACCCAGAGGAGGCAGAGGTGTTGGCGATGGATTTTGGTCTGGAAATGGCGAGGAGGAGAGGATTGGGGGAAGTGGAAATGGAATCTGATTGCCAGGGTGTTGTTCAGCATCTCCGCCGAGAAGAAAGAAGGGAAACCGAGATCGGGCTGATGTGCGAGGAGGTGCGGATCACAGCTCAGGTACTGGGCTCGGTTCATTGGTCTTGGGTGGGCCGAAGCAAAAATAAACTGGCCCATAAGGTAGCCCATCTGGAGTGTGACTGGGATAGTGAGAAGGCTTGGGATGATAATCCACCAAATGAAATTGTACCTCTCATTAGAGAGGAAACCTTTGGAAACTATGTTTTGTTTGATTAATATATGAATACAGTTTTCCTTCAAAAAAAAAAAAAAATTATTTGTTCATCGTCCATTTAGTGGGTTTGAAAAATGACTCAAATGCCCTTATTCAGTCTTAATGTCGTTATTTTTTTTATCCCAAGTCACAACCCAATTAAATGAAGACATTTGGGTCATTTTCCAGCCATTTAAACGACTAATTAACAGATAATTAGATGAAGAGGTATATTGTTACGTTTTAATATTAGAAGGATATATGTTTGTGCAAAAAAAATAGGAGAGTACGATTGTAAACTTGTGATAGTAGAGAGGTAGAAAATGCTATTAATACAATATGAAACTAACATATTTGGTACAACGACTGAGGTTACAAATAAGTCTAGTCAAATCAAGTTTTGATCTAGGTTTGCATGTACATTTATGAAAATCTTATGAGCTCTATATATAAATCGCAACTATTTAGCCCACATAACCAAATAGCTAATATGGTTGTATGTAGCCCATTCCATTAGAAAATATGAATTTCCTTACGGCAAGACATATTTCAGACTTTGAGAAGAGGTCTTCTCTGTTTTTCAACAACTCAAAGCGAAGAATCCTCAAAATGTGCATTATTGCATGGGTCCATGACCATAATATTGTCAGGAGTCAGGACTCAGGAGACACACTTACCACACAGTAGGAAAAATTATGATGTTTTTTATGTGTTATAAAATACTTGAAATTCTTTGAATAACTAGAGTTATTAGGATTGATTGATTTTTGAGATGATATCAGAACCTTTTGTAATCTAAAAATCTTATATTCGAATTCCTCTGATCCCATTAATAAGCACATGGTGTTAGATACAATGTGCAAATTTCAAGTCCATATAAAATGGACTTTTGTTTGAAATGAGTATTAATATGTGGGATAATGTTATGTGACTAGGCTACGAGCTAATTCTTGACAATATATTGATTAAATTTGCAGGAAGCTTTGAGGTTTCGAATCAAACCAAAATTTCACAAGCTTTGAGGTTTCGAATCATCCCTAGTTGTACTTGTACCATACGTGGCAGCCATCCATGTTTCACTTCACAATTACCCGACAAATTATGTCGACACGGCCCAATTAACCGGACAAAGTAAACAATCACAAATTACTACATACACACACCCATGACTCAACGTACATTAACCGCACATGTCTGGTCGATGTTACATTTTGTTCCTTCCTACACTCTCAACAATAATAACTTCTTCTTTTTTCCTATGGTTTTAACTCAAACATTTCCTATATATACACGTGCATTAAAAACGTGCAAATCTATCTCCAGAACACACATATAATCCCAGTACCACCACAAGGTAAACCTTATAAAGAATCGACAATGGGAAGAAAAGCACCAGCAATTGTTACGATCAACTTCTTGTTCATCATACCAATTTTTTGAATGATTAGCGTTACCTTTTCGCTGCCCACTCCGACAGTTCGTGAGAATGCAGTTGCTAATAAGCATGGGTGCTTTCATGTACAAATCCATAGAATTTTCTTATTACAACATTTTACAATGCTAATAAGCATGGGTGCTTTCAGGTACAAATTCAATTTATATCATAATGTTAAAATTACGAATTTAGTATATATTATAAAAGAATTTGTATGAAAAGTTTAGATACAAATTGAATTTGTATAATAAAATCAAGGTACATGTTTAGTTTGTATCACAAAAATATATTTATACGGGAAAAAAAAATTAAGTGTCTACTCGAGCCGAATCGTCACCATTCCTAACCATCTTAATACTATCGAATTGAATTAATGGCCTACCCTGGAACTATTTGGGCTCATTCCACCTTGAAGCCCAAATACTATTTGATCTCCTCCCTATTCATTTCCTTAAAATCGATCGTCTAGTTAGGTACGAGAGCTCCGGCCCGGCCCAATAAGAGAAGCTGCTCCAAAGCCCCTTTGTTGTTTCTGTAAGCAAATGAAAATTCCAACAAAGAAGAAAAACCTTCCCGGGAAATTTTCCCTCGCTAATTCAGATAGTTTCCCCGGTTCCGCTTCCTCCGCCGCCGCTCTCGGTTTCGCCCGTCGCCGATCGATGACTGTAACACGCCGCGGAGCATCGGTACAATGTCAGAGACTCAGAGAACAGGAAGCCTCTGTATAACAACAACACGCAGCGAAAAATCCTTTAGGGTGCGTTTGGATACAAGGATTTGGATTTGGTATTTGTGATTTGGATTTTCAAATACCAAATCATGTGTTTGGATATTAATTACATTTGGTATTTGGATTTGTGTCAAATTCATGGGGTGATTTCCAAATACATGTCTAGTGTATTTTTTGTCAACTTCAAATACATTTCAACTAGTGATTTGAAATACCTCCTAACAAAAGAATGGACCTATTTGTAAAATATGAAAAGTTTAGGTACTATAGTGTAAGGCAAAACATGTAAAGGTACCAAAATGTAATTTTACCATCAAAATTTCAGGACCTTTTTGTAAAATTTTAAAAGTTTAGGTACTAAATTGTAAGAAACAATAATTTCGGGTACCAAACTGTAATTTACCAAAATTTGTAGTAAGTGGCCAGAAAATTAAAAATTGAAATTGAAAATCATAAATACAAAAATACAAACAAATTACAAATGAGTATCCAAACAATGAATTTGAATTACATGTATTTCAAATGCTAATACTTCAAATACATCCATTTCAAATGTTAATATTTCAAATACCTTACATTTAAAATACACTTATCCAAACGCACCCTTATATAACCCTTCTTAATCGCTCTGGCAATTCGTTCGCCGGCCGACGGGGCAATTTTAAGCCTTTATAAGGTGAGCTCTCTTGGGTTCAGTTTATATATTCTGATAGTAGTGTTTCTATCACTAGACGGAATCAAAGCACTTCAGATGCAATTAGGATCTTATTGTTTAGTTTCACTTTGATCAAGATCCAATTTTTATTGGGTCCGATTTTGAACCCTAGCAGAAAACCCTACCCACCCCTTAATGACAATGCATAACTTGTTGGAATATTTCCCTGTGAATGTAACGAGTTAGCTAGTTGAGTGGTGGTAGTGTTACAGCTATATGGCCTTGCTGTTGTGAAGGGCTGCTATTATGAATTGCCACTTCGACCCCATCATGTTTCAACTGACATGGAGTATTGCATTCATGTGCTGTGGCTGTTTCGTCTTTAGAGTCTTCTGCATTCTCATCTCCTGCCGTTTGTGCTTCTTCTCCATTACTGATCTTACCATTGAATTTGGTTTGCTGCTTTTCTTCCTTGTTCTTCCCCCACAAAACCAAATAGAGCCCTCCAACCAGCAGAACAGCCCCACCAAGATTTCCCAAGTAGAGGACTTCCTTCCACACGATTGCTGAGAAAATGGCTGCCACGATCAGCGCCAATGGGGTGAACATCGCTGCGAAAACCGGTCCCTTCCTCTGTATCGCCCATAGTTGCAGCCAATAGGTTAGCCCCGTCACAACCACTCCCTGTGCAAAAATTTTAAGAATCAGTTTCAGGTTTGGCAGGCCTCAAACAGACACATCCAAGTTGGGAATGAGCTTACACAATAGGCAACAGCGTACAGATGGATATTCCATCCAAGTTTCCAAGCAGAGGCATCCCTCTCTGCTACGACGGCTACAACAGCTGCCATTATGCAGCCAAACACACACTGTAGTGCTGTGAACCGGACTTTTGCTGGATATTGCTTCACCATACGACCCTACAAGCATGGAGAAATTAAAAGAAACAAAAGGGGTACTTTTAGTTTAGTTGGTAGCACAGAGTTTTCCTTGCTAAAAGATAAAGCTTGAGATGGAGGAAATTGGAAATCTGACCTGAATAATGACCCACAAGGACCAAATGGTATTGGCCAAGATCATGACGAGGGAGCCCTTAATCCAATCACCCTTGGAGCAGCAATGCTTCAGAGGACCATGTTTTGATGTTGATGTGTGGACATCGTTCACAAGAGCAGGGCCCTTCACAAGGGCAAATACTAGTGCCCCTGAAACACCAACTGCAGAGCCAATTACTTTGGCCATTCCATGGACTTTCCTTATAGACAGCCTCTCCATCCTGCCAAAAAGAATGAAAACCTATTCAAGATCGACGAATCTCCACTTTCTTTCGAATTCGAATGCGACTTTTGGTTGTTAAATTTTCTTGCTTCACACCTCATTAGCACAGCCACAATGAACGTTGTGGCAGGAATTGCATTAGTAGCAGCTGCAGCAAAAGTTGCAGTTGTGTAGCTGATTGCATAGTAGTAGAGGTTCAAACCCACAGTCTGCCTGCACAAGTAGAAACCACAAAGCGATCAATTGTTCCACAAGACAAGCAAGCAAAGGGGAAGTACAGTTGATGGAAGTGTCATCATACCCAAAGAAGGAAAGCAAAATGATCTTCAGAAGAACCTTGTATGGCAAGGGAACAGCCTTCTCACTGGACCCAAAATAAAGGGAAAGAACACACTATAGTCACATAATCAATCTTCATCAGAAACAAATATGAAGATGACTTGTGAAGTTCACAGAAACCTCTTGAGGAAGAGGGCAAAGGGAGCCAATGCAACCGAGGCGAAAGCGAGGCGGTAAGTGACGAAGACATAGGAGCTCATCCCTCCACCTCCAGAGATGGCTGCTTTGGAGAACAGAGCCATCCCTGCATATATCAGCTGCAGGAACAGCAGCAGAATGTATGGTTTCTGGTCTTCCATTTCTGGTTTCGAATTACTTAGTAGTTTTCCCCTTCTCTTGGTACTACTGCCTTCAGTTCTGGAATTGGGTTTTGAGAAGCTGAACCCTTTGGAAACTTGCTGTCGAGGTCAACCCCACCAAACCAAAGTTAAAAAAAAAAAAAATAACTCTGCCGTTTGCTGACAGCCCTCCTTTTATTGTATATATGCACTGTTTCAACTCTTTGTACATTATTGTGGTGTTAATATATTGCATTATAACATCAAAGCTACGTACATTGCTCAGAAATTAAGGAACAATGACCTGTTGCCTAAAGCTCTTTGCCAGAAGACCTTCGCAACCTCCGTTTCCCAACTGTTTTTTTATGCGAAACTAAGAGGAAACTGGCATCTTAATAGTAAGGTGGGAGTAGAGACGATAGTGACAAAACAAAGAGGAAACCGGCATCTCTCCGGCGGCCAATGCATTTTACTCGGAAATGTCGACAAACATGGACAAAGTTAAAATCGAATGATGATGATAAGTTAGTATATGCTCTTTATTGTTGCTCGTGCGTTTAGAGTTGTAGTTGTTTTCGTTTTATCATTTTTCAGTCACTATAGCCAATTAAGATGTCATACATATTGTGACGATCGTAACAAGTATTGATGGCCTCGGTACCGGTCGTCATTGACTAGTTTGACCAAGAAAATCGATTCGATTATCGATTTATCAGTTCAGCGGTTGTTCCGAAGCAACATAGTGAAGACGATTTGAAGAATGTTACTGTTTTCATGTACGGCTCAAGTTGCATTGAGTTAGTGATTACTATTGGTCCGTGTAGCGATAATCATTATTAAGAATAAAGAACCGAATGGAGCTTATGGGTGTATTTTGGTTTGATTTATGTGGATTGGTAAATTTACGTCATATAATCATTTCGTATGTTATCATTTGAGATGTATAATATTTTTTTTGTGGTTCTGTTATTAACATAGTTTCAAATGTTTCTACTCAAATATTTTTTTATGAATAAAATTCTCTTTTATTTCATCAAATACAGTTAGCTAACATGAGTTTGAGTTACACAAGTGCTAGTACAGAACAAACTATTTTACCTATAACTACAGCTACCTAATTTACAGAAAGAATGAACAAGAAGGAAACAAAGCCATGCGAAAAACCAGTCTCTGTCAAACTCTAACTCTAGTTATTGTTTATGAAACAAAGAGGGGGATGTCATGGCTGCATTTGCAGTCTTTGACAAACTATTCTATCTATCTATTGGTCCGGTTCTTATCCTAAGATATCTTCCAATATTGAACCATGGTTCTCCTGAATTTGGTTCGATTCGGTCCGGACCGGACCGATGCCCACCTCTACTAGGAGTATACCTAGATACCTCACTAGCAGATGTCCCTCCCGGAAACCAAACTTCCCTATGATCTCAGCTTTTAAGGCTATTAGAGACTCCTGAATTCAAAACTTAACTCTTCCCCGACTTGCATTTGAGGCCTGAAATCCTATAGAATTTGTGTAGAATATCTGCTACGACTGCAACACTTTCAACAGATCCTTCTGTGAAAACTAGAAGATCATCTGCGAAGTATAAGTGTGTGAGACCAATTCTGTGGTAGGGTAGTACTGATTTTGCTGTTGGCCTATTCAACATACAACTAAGAACTTTTATAACTATGGCAAAAAAGATAAAGGTGACGGGAGGCAACCTTGTCGAAGCCCTTTCTTAACTTGAAAATTCCAAATTACTCCTAAAGTATATGTGATGTGCTGAATTATGTAATTATGATCATATTTATGTGTTTCAAATACATTCAAATAATCGCAAGCGTAAAAAAAAATCATGTATATCTTTTCAAATATTGCATTTTTATACAAAATATCTTGTACTCTCCCAGATATACTTTTCTTCGTTAACCGGATAAATCATCGTCTCATCGAACACAGGTGCACAACTACTACAATTTTAGAGTCAACATCGTGGATCTATCAAACCAAATCTTTCGTTAAACAAAGTTTAGTGGTAGCCTGCTGGATATTTTGGATCACACAGAAAGAGGAACGGTACTGGTGCTACCTCCACTACAAATGGAGTGGAATTCCTTACGGGGAAAAAGGGGTCTTGTCCTGCTGTTGTATCAACGATTCTACTGGCTTACAGGGAACCAAATAATTATGAGAAGTTATGAAATGAGAGTCCAAATTGTAATTCTATCAGTGCCCGTCTTTGTGTGGTTTTAGCCACCATGCTTGAGGTGATGAGAGCATAATTGAGTTGAAGAAATAGAATAATTTTAGAAGAATCGAAGAGTAAAAATTCATAATAGAGAAAACATATATATATTAGATGAGCACTTCTGCTATGGTTCAAAGTATTGGTACTTTAATGTACAACTTGAAATCGTAACCATAATGTTAAAAGTATAAACTCATATTGTACTTTAAGGAAATTTGTACTTTTATCTTATGGTACAAGGGTACAATATGAAGTTGTACCATAATATTAAATGTACAACTTCAAGTTGTAACATAACGACAAAAAATAAAAAACACCAATACTCTGAAGCATTGTAAAACTCCTAGGAGAAGCTGATTATCTTTTATTCTAAGTTAAATATGACACGAACTATTTATGATTGATTTACATATTTATTTCTTTTTTTATGTTGTTGGCTTGTATCTTATTGTTGTTAAGACAGTTTAATAGAGTGAAACGAAATTGTGAATGATTATATAGTGAGACAAGATCAATCTTAATAATTTGAATAATTATGTAGTTTTAAAATAATTTGATAATATTAAGTAATGAAACTTCAATATTGTTCAAAATATCATTTACGTTATCTTTTTTTTAATACATCCCATTAAATGAAATTCCGACTACGCGCCCACTCGATACACAATTTCAGGACAAGACCTTGTCTATTATAACCCAAAAGGTAAAATCAGCACGGCCCCCATTACGCAGGAGCTCAACCATCTTCTTAGGTTCTGATATCGATTAGACCTATAAATTGATGTCGCAATTTTACAAGGATGAAGTGATTGTTGGTGGAAGTGGAGCAGGAATGAGAGATAAGGGAAGTGAAAGAGCTATATGATGGTCATGTCGTGAAACTCCATTTCCTAAGACTCCCATTTCTTCCTTTTGTGTAATGCCCTCTATTGCGGTTGTTGTTGTTGTTGTGCTGGTTTCCTCCTTATTGGATTCTTCACTGATGATCATCAACTTGGTTTGCTGCCTTTCTTCCTTGTTCTTTCCCCACAGCACAAGATAGAGACCAGCCACTAGCAAAACAGCCCCACCAGCACTGAACCCACAAAAGCACAATGAACTTGGTGATGTGATCGTCAGGCAAAATTGGGTAAGAGAAGAGCCAAAAAAAGGAAAGGGAATGTATAACCCAAAAACAAGTGAAACATGACTGTGTTATGCACTACATAACAGAAAGATGCTGCAAAAGGGGATGCTTTGTGAAACCATTTGTCAAGCTTAGCAAGTGTCTATTCCAAAAATAGATATAAAATTTGAGGTAATGATTGTTAGTACAGAGTTATCAGAGAACCGATTGATTCTTGACATGGTAATCGGAATTTTTCTGTGACCGGAAGGTTTCGTGTTCGAATCCCCACGACCCTGTTTGTCAACACATGTTATTTCGGGACGCAAAACCGAGACTTATCCTGAGAGATCAGTAGGAAGCACAGAATACACTGTCTGACTACCTGCCCAAGTAAAGGACTTCGTGCCAGACGCAGGCAGAGAAAACGGCTGTAACGAGGAGTGCCAGAGGAGTGAACATGGCTGTGAAAACTGGGCCTTTCCTCACAATTGCCCATATCTGTAGCCAAAATGTCAGCCCCGTCACAATTACTCCCTGCCAAGATGGAGAAAAATGGTTCAACATCAAAGCACAATGAAGTTAGAGAATCTTTGGAATATGTAACATGGGACGAGACATGATGCTGCTCACACAATACGCGACAGAGTAAAGCTGTATATTCCATCCAAGCTTCCAAGCAGAATCTTCCCCCCTTTTCACCACAATTGCTGCAACAGCTGATTGCAAGCAGCTGAACAAACATTGCAGAGTCGTCAGGCGGATTTTCGCCGGGTACTGCTTCACTATTCGACCCTGCAACGAACATCGATTCGCGAGCTCATACTCGAGACGAGACACAACACAAAGCAGAGAACCCTTTTTTTTAGTTCCAAAATTACTACCTGAAAAATGATCCAGAGTGACCATAGCACGTTAGCTAGTATCATGATCAAAGATCCCTTAACCCATTCTCCCTTGGAACAACATTCCTTGATCCCATCGCCACCATCTCGATTCGCAGACGAAGATTGCAGATTGTTCACTAGAGCAGGGCCCTTCACAAGAGCAAACACCAGTGCCCCTGAGACACCAAGTGCAGAACCAACCACCTTCGCGACCCCGTGAACTTTCCTAATCGACACCCTCTCCGTCCTGTCACATGTCACGCGATCCACACATAGTCACACGATCCATCGATCGAAACAAACGAACCTCGAGGAGTTGATGTAGTGGTAAATAATAATGATAAAACAAAAACAAAAACAAAAACAAAAAGTTTGATCACCACCTCAATAGAACAGCCAGGGTGAAGGTTATGGCAGGAATTGCATTGGTGGCAGCTGCAGCAAAAGTCGCGGTCGTGTAGTTGATCGCGACACCGTAGAGGTTCAAGCTCAAACTCAGCCTGCAAGTATAAGAAATTCACCCATTAGACCAAATCACAACCCCACACACATACGTCAATGAAAAAAAGGATTGATTTTTGGAGTTCATTACCCGAAAGAGGAGATGAAAAAGATCTTGAGAAGAACCTTTTTTGACAAGGGGACATCTTTTTCGCTGTAAACAACAGGAAACAACTTGTGATCAGAGGCAATGCTCACAGTAACAATAACACTACTGGTTTGTAACATAATGGGAAAATGGAACCTCTGGATGAAGAGAGCAAATGGAGCTAATGCGAGAGTGGCGAAAGCTTGGCGGTAAGTGACGAAGACGAAAGAGCTCATTCCTGAAGAGATGGCTGCTTTGGAGAAGAGGGCCATCCCTGCGTATATTAACTGTACAAGTAGCATCGCTATGTAAGGTTTCTGGGTTTCGATTGCTTTCATGCTGTCTATTTTGGGTAGTTTTTTTTTTTTGGGGGGGGGGTGCTTGCTCAGGTATTTTTATGAGATAACTGGAATGGCCAGTTGAAGTATTTATATTGGGGAACAAAATATTGCAATTTTCAGCGCACCAAATCCTACATAAAGAAGGGAATAGCTCCTTGTCTAGCTAGTGTCAACTTTCTATTTGCTTCCTTTTTATGGGTTGTGCGTTGTTTCTTGTCAGGCCATCAACTTGTACAGTTGTAATACTGTTGTATGCTAGGGTGCTTAAGAAAAGAGCCCACTAGTGGTTGAAGACAAGAGCCCATTTATCGGCACGCCAATCTTGTGTTCGTAGTACTGTTTGTGAAAACCGTACGGTATCGACGGTTTGATAAGAATTTCTTTTTTATTATAGTCTAAATAGGTTGGTGATTTTAAGTATGCATGAAATTGTTGAACAACGATTTTAATATAAAAATATTTTATCGCTAATTATTTATGTACAACCTCAGTTATGGTTTTACAATACTTTGTTTTTAGTTTTGTAGCCTTAATGTAAAGAAATTTAGAGAGAATAAAATTTAAATGAATATTTAACTTATTGGGGTCTTTCTATACCTGTAAATTTATTATTAGTTTTATAATCATTGTATTCAATCATGTGGTATTGGTTGTTGTATGACACAATCTAATTCTGGTAGCAGCATTTCAAAAAAAAAAAAACATCTGGTAGCATCTGTGAAGGAATTTGTTAAGATTTAAAGTATTGGTTCAAAGTTCAACTTGTAACATAATATTAAAAGTATAAGTTTATATGTACTATAAATAAATTTGTAAGAATATATACAGGTACAAACGTAACTTGTAGACTTGTAGTATTATGTTAAATGTACAAGTTCAGTTTGTATCATATATATGAAAATAAACATTCTTATTATATAATATTATAAAATTTCTTTATCAATATCCTCGAATATTAGTAACCGTGGTATGTCCGCCAAAGACAAAGTGACGTGAAATTTCCTTTTTTCGGAGTGACAAAGTTGTTTCTTGTGTAGGGCTGCATGCCTTTTGATTTTACATAACCACTTAAAGGCAGAAACGATTCACTAGTGACAACTGACAACAGAAAATGGCCTACTCCATTCCCTCAATTTCCACCCCTCGAATTTGCACAACAAAGTCCTACTCCATAATTTTCCGTACAAGGAACAATGGTCTGCCGTTGTCCTCATTGAACTACTTGAGCACTATGTATACTCCTGCGGAAGAATTGAAACATGAAAAACGTATTTTTTTTTTCTTCCATTCAGGACTAAACATGGTGGAGGCTGTTACACTTGGTGGAGGCCTGGAGGGTGCCACTGAGGTTACATGGAAGTTAGCTGGCTTATCAATCCATCTGCAAAATTTGACCGAGGTTTGGACTTTGGAGTAGCCAACATCTAGGGGACTCATTTGGTTTCTAGGGTTGGGAAATAGTTTGGCCCGGTCCAGATCATACATATGGTTTATGTTTTAGATCGAGAAATTGAAATATAGGACCATATCAAATACTATATGGTTTAAATAACACTATGTCTGTGCGGTCTAGCTAGTTCGGTACGGTCTGGATAATGCATAACATATTGAGCGAAAAATGAACAATTTGTTCAGTAAGCCAGATGAAAAATCGAATCAACGTGAGAAAAAATTTGGTCTTTCCCTTAAACATAAAATTTAACACGGATGCATAATTTTAATACAATAAATGTAAGTAAAAAACAAAAATACAAAGTCAGAGCCTCCAACTTGCACCATAATGTCATACACATTAACATAATGTGATATGAAGACATAATTGTCTCTACTCTGTGACATAGTGCGGTTTATGAATGAAGTAGGGTTGAAATTTGGGTCTCACTAAGGAGTTGAGAAAGTGGTCGACTGCGTTGTTAACAGAATCATCAGGAAGTGGCCTGGGTCCATGGGTTGGTCAGATAAACCGCGGTCTAGACCAAAATAGACCAAGAAATCAAATTAGCCTCTGTCTCCTACGCCAATTCGGCATCAGTCAATGTCGGGGCCGACTGGTTGAGATTCGGAAGGGGTAGGTCCATAGATCTTATGACCGTTAAGAATGATATGGTTTGGTCCATGCTATGTATTATATAGCATTTTGCTCGAACCAAACTGTGCAGTCCTGTTTGGTATATGATATTTAGACCGAATAATATATAGTAGTTTGCCTCTCTATCAACAAATTGAGTTTTTAAAAATTAACTAGTTTATGAAATGATATCAGAATTTTTGATCGAGAAGTTACAATTATATATGTCAAAAACTAGCATACACCAAGCGCAATAATATGTTACGGGAACTATGGGATAACAACTTTTCATTTGAAGTAACTTACTATTACATCATCCATTCCATGTATAAGAGTTGATAGACCTAACCTAGCTAACTATAACTTAATTATGTGGAAACCCAAATGATCATTATAAGGTGCTGTCGTCTCAACATCAGAAAGAATTAATGGTTTGTAGCATGTGCTGGTAATGCTAAACTGTTCACCTCTCATTAACGGTCAATAACTACAGCCATGACCACTTCGCTATATTCTGAGTTTGCAATAATCTCTTATCCTCTTTGGATGATGAACCTGTTGAACTCTCATTAAGCACGTTCGTTTGTGTATGTTGAAATATATTGGGAGACCAAATAAAATCTGTATATTGAGATTTGAGAGTGCTGTTTCTTTGGAGTGGATAAGTGGATCTAGATTCTTTAATCAGCTGCTTAGGATCTGTAGCTAGCTCTCCAATTGACTGCCATAATTTTGATGTGGTAAGTTAGATGAGCGGTTTTAGCACTACGAAATTGTTACTTTTTCTCTATAACTTCCGGTATAGTTTCACAATCATTTTTCCATACGAGAACTCAAGCCGGAACAGTGAAGGGGGGAAATTACCTCAGTTCTTAACGATGGAAACGGTCGCACCATGGATTCACGCCTAGCAAGTGGGGCTGGCTATTTGGTTCAGGATTTTTGGTTTTACCCGAAACCGGACTGGGACCAGATAGCAAACAATCCAATCAAATCTTCGGGCCTAGATTTGAGGTAAAAAAACCATTTGGGACCAGACCAAAAACCGGATAAAGACCGGATAAGAGAGCCTAACACTCAAATATAACCTCCTAACCCTTTCAGGCCTTAGACCACTCAAATCCCCCCTCAGACCACTCAAATCGCCACAAGCTCAAATCTAAAATCAAGACCGAACTGGGACCGGACTGTATCCAATCCAATTTTTTGTCCTTATTAACTCGAAAAGACCGGACTAGAACCGAATCAATTCGGATCAATTTAACCGAATCGGATCGTATAGTCACCCCTACTGGCAAGGCGCACCAGCGTGGCAGCGTAGGAGTAATATTGGGCCTCCAAATTGGAGCAGAAGGACAACTCAGAATGGAGGAGGCGAGCCGCTGAATCGAGGCCTTGTGTCCACCTCAGTCGTCACATAAGCTTCTCCTAAACTAAAGAAGACCGGGTAATAAAAGAGTGGCTGGGCAGTCCACTGGGCCGGGAAATTTGGGCTCGAACAAGAGAAATGGGAAAATGAGGAAGAGGGCCGATCTCGCTCGGCTGGAAGAAAAGCCTGTAAGACTTACACCGGCTTATTGCTCTGGGCCTAGTTGGACTGCCTCTGTGGTCAAACTTGTTTGATGTACAAGTCCATTGCAAAGACACAACCACGACGAACACGAGTTCACCTGTTGATAATAAGTGATATTTTTAATCAAACTCCAAGTCTCTCGACATTTCCATTTCCCTCTATGCTCCATTCACCCAGGGTTCCATCTAAACTCTTAAACATTATTAAATTGAGTCTCGAGAAGAAGCAAACCTCTCGCGCTTGACTTACCAACAATTAGCAGTTATTTAAACGGATTTTTCTTATTTGACGTGGTTAACGATTAACGATGTAATCGCAAAATAGGTCATATCACTGACTGCACTCATTAAAGGACCCTCTTATGCAATGTTCCAATAAATTACTAACCACTCGGTTACAATTCGGTTATAGTTAACCCGAAAACCGTACCCGTATTGACAACCCTAATTTTCAGAATCACAAAACATAATTCATTTACATGTCTTCTCAAACAAAATTCATTGAATTTAGAAATTATGTAGATCGATCATACATGCATGTACGTTAATTAAGTATTGATATTGGAGGTTACCATTATTCCAATAGCACGAACAATTGAGCAAGTCTTTTTTTTTTTTTTTTTTTTTTGGTGCCATGAGCAATTCTTATAATTTCACAGCCTCTTTTCTGTAGCAGAAATATTTACAAGAGAGCTAGATAGACTTTTTGATCAGCTCTTTTATTTGGTATGTGATATCATCGATGAAGCTGCTACTACAAAGGCTCTGAGCTAAATATTAAAAGACAACTCGAAAAAATGACCTTACATAATTTGTTTATTGTCCTGATAATTCAAATCATGGAGAAAGAAATCTCCTTAAATTGAATTTTCTATTATGCATTCAAAAAAATTAGTTGCGACACATAATTAAACCAAACTCCATTCAAAAGTATACAGGTGATTAGAGATAATGGGAAGGAAGAAAAAGAACAGCTGCAATGACACCTAATTAACCAAATTAAACATCCCATATTAATTGATAGTAATATATATTCACTTTTAATGTATTTCTTTTATCTAGTGGGTATAACTGTTGTTGCTCTTTTGGGAAAAAAGATTGTAGGCAGAAGAAGAGTGCTTGCATGTGTATGATGATGCATCCACATGCCTTCCATGTTAAGCAACTTTGCCTTGTCTCCCACTTAACTTTCTCCCTCAACTTAGAATCTCCACCACCACCAGATAATACCTACGGCCGCCAATGAAGGCATTCATCAAGGCTACAGTTGTCTGTGACTTTTTTTTTCAAGCTATTTTATGCGCATAAAATGATAATATATTTAAAAAGTTTACAACAGAACCTCCAAGTTATGGTTACGATTTAGTAGTGGTTCAGTCGTTT